GGGGGTGTGGGGTGTTGAGCGAAACTTAATTAACGAGTTTCAGTGATTTTTTTTTTTTTACGGAAAAAAGAGGTAGGGGTTAAGTCCCAACTGTTGGATGATATGGACATTCCCAATTAATTGTGGTGATACCCCGATTAATTGTGGTAGTATCCCAATTAATTGTGGTAGTATTCTGATAAATTAGGTTACTGACCCAAATGTTGCGGTGCTACCAAAATTAATTGGAAATGTTCATATCGTCCAACAAAATGGGGTAATACCACAATTTTAGGGGATAACCCCTGACACTTTTTTTCCGTGTTTTTTTCAAGTTTCTGTAAAATTTTCCGTTGATCGTCTTAAGAAGTTTTAAAGAATCTTAAAAATATTCGCTGCAATCAATACTACCGTGCTAAGGAAGAAAGCCGTATGAGCCATCAGGCGTTGCCACATTTCCCTCGAAAAACAAGGAATTTTTAGGAAAATCCGTGAATATTTCTCCTCCGATTTTTTGGAGGATTTTGTTAGAAATTTGATCCCAGAAGTCTGAAAATTTAAAGGAAAAATATTCATACCTTTTTTCCAAAATTGATATTTTCTGAGGGAAAATTTGGCTACATTCGAATGCTCATATGGTGTTTTTTCTTAGCACGGCAGCATAGGTACTTTCACTTTTTCCCACTACATAGAAACGCCAACTCGCTCAATAAAAAGGTGATATTTAGATTATGTTTTATCGAAATGGGAGGGAGGGGAATCCGCGCAAACGTTACGTAATTTTGAAGGGGAGTTCTGGCACAGTGTTACGGAGCCTCATAGAGGGTGCCAAAAACCGCAAATTTAGTGCTCCGTAATTTAGGAACGACCCCAAACGACGGATCTCGATTTTCGCAAATTCGACGAGACTTTGAAGTGGAACCGATCGTTTGAGTGTAACATAATTAGGGCTCGACATAAATGCGTTTCCATTGGCGCTTGCTTCACTGCAATTGCAAAAACTGATCCTCTCATTAAGTGTACCTACTCCTGACATCGGAGAGACATAGCGAACGCCGCTCCAGAGGAAGGAGTTGTTCACTTCAGCGTTTTCATTTAAGGCATTATCAGATTTTCCGCTTTGGACGTCGCTGGGACATTTTTGTGACTGTAAATGACAGTAGGATTCGAGTCGTTTTGACTCACCCCTAAAAGAACTCTAATACTCATAAATGATGGATGGTAAATCGATTTACTTTTAAAAGGTGCATTCAGACAATATTGGCAATTGGTGCTTTAGATGTATAACTATACACCTTAAAAAATTTTTAGTGATCGAATTGTAACACTTAGCAAGGAGGGAACAAAGGCAGAGAGGGTAATGACAAGTCAAAAAGCGGGGAATGGGGAAAAGATTAAATCAAAATTGGAAGTTCGTCTGATTCAGGACAGAGACAATTTGATGATGGAGGGAGGTGTTGAGGTCAGAAAACAGTGAGAAAAATTTTGATTTTGATTTTCGGTAGTTCGGGCCAGATACTCTTAGTATAAAACAGAAATGAAAAAAGGTTAAAATCGATTTCATGGAACCACGCTGAGTGATGAGTCAAAAACTCGTTCGAAGCGAAAAGACAAATTGTCTAGGGGGCGTAGTAAACCTTCCCTCTCCTCATTTCCTCCTCCGGCAACGTGACCCAGTTTCCAAGCTCTCTAAACTCGCGGTGTATCCTCTTCGGGTTCCTTCAGAGATGGTGAGAAGATTGGGAGGTACACAAACGCGGAGAAGGAATACTCGAGTATATCGCAGGAGTGTGAACAAGTGTTATCCGGCCACTCGAAGGACCATTAGGTGGCGCTTAAGTATTCCCCGACGACAACCTGACGGCCGGGTAAACGTTTGATGTTCGTCGGAGCCGCGTAAATGTCCCGGCGCGTCCATCGCACTGGTGATTCTCGCAAGTTGGCAACTTCCATTTACACGGAGAAAAAACCCTCGGTTATACGAACCGCACGGGTTACTAAACTTTGTATTTTCCATTTAATATTCTGAAAGTGCAAGGTGAGTAGATGACACGTCACCTGACCGACTGGACTGCGTTTGGCGCAATGCGAGAAGTATTCCTGCAGTCTTGCAGGCGCTGATATAGGCTATACGCAGCGCCGAGCCGCCGACCGCACTGTTTGGCGCAGTGCGTGCAGTATTATTACAGTCTTGCAGGCGCTAATATACTTTAACGTGGAATTTCAGTTCGTGTGGTGGAAAATCTGTTTTGTGAGATCGAACTCTTCGATTAAACGAACTGATAACAAGTGCTCGATCACACCAATTAAAGCTTCAATCCCACGAACTATGAAGTTTTGACAAACGGAAAGTTGGCTCGATATAACACCGGACATTCGGCTCATACGATAGAACTTTTTTTTTTCCAATGCAGTTCCGTGAACGTCTTCGGGTTCACGGAACTGCATTGAGAAAAAAAAGTTCGATTGTCGACCAGTTCCGTGTCAACGAGCCAAAGTTCAACTTCGGTTGATATCAAACATGCTCCGGTTGAACGAAAGTCTTTCGGTTCGTAGAGCTGAACCTTCGGTTCACCGAATTGAGGTTTAGTTCTATCAACTGAACCGGTTGATTCGCTCGTCTGAAGGCTCAGACTCTTGAGCCGAAAAGCGCCTTCTGCGGGCTAATCATTGAAAATGATAGACGAAGCGATAAGCAGGGAAAGCAAGCGTAAAATGGTGCGATCCTATTGATTGAAACGGGTGGTTGCTGTAGATAAAGAGGAAAAATGATGGACTAACTTTTTAGGGTCTCTCGTGGGTTGCCGTTCGTTAGTCTATTACTTACCTCTTTTGTCCATTGGAACCACCCGCCTCCACCAATAGGATCGCTCCATTTTCTCTTTTTCTTTTTTGTCTATCGCTTTGTCTATCAATTTCAATAATATGCCCGCAGAGCTATCCGCTTTGTATAACCAAAGTTATAACCAAACCCTTTTAAATTGGACTCCATTTTGCAATTTGGACCTATAGATTCTAGCCCGGTTTAAAAGCAACGTATGTGCCATTAGTTTCCCTATGCACATAAGTGTTTTTCCAGAAGAGCCAGAATTTATAGTTCTAAATAGCAAAATGCGGTCCAATTATCACTCCCCTTTGGAACAGCCTGCCTCGATAAATGAACATATTTATAATTCTAAAAGGAATTATGTGCATATAGGGATTGCGTGGAGCATAGTTCCTTTTAGCATAAATACATCCAAATATCGATTGTTGTATACAAATACGTATGAAGATATTCGAAACCCGCAGTATAGACCGTATTCGATAACGGTTCGATGTATCGTTTGGTTCAAAACAATAGAACATAACCCCGAACCAAACTGTGAGGATTTAAGTTGGAAAAGCTGAAAATGAGAAATTTCCTGACAATTTCACTTTGCATTGGCATTTGGTACTCAAAAGAATAAAACATCTCGACGGTGAAAGTCGGCAATCACATAACTCGTTTGCGGTGTCTGAAAATCTCCGCCTCTACGTCATTTTTTTAAAGGAGAACAAATTGATGTTATTTCTTGAAGTTTTTGCAGAATTTTCTTCGCATTGAGAAGAAAAATCATGACAGTTTTAAAGAATTGCCGTTGAGTAGTTTTCCATTTTGAAAATAAAGTATGACAGGAAGTCTGCGACGTCGCAAACCGAGTTATGTGATTGCCGACTTTCACCGTCGATCTGTTACAAAAGACCCGTTCCCTCCGATTTCTAAATTGACTTTTGAGGCTATGTTTATGTTTTGAACCAATCGATATCGATACAATCTCACCTGTTTGATGTATCGAATACGATCTATTGCTACTTTGTGAGGATCGCTACTCTTCTGTCATCGGTGTCTGGATCATTTTCGTCGAAGGCTAAGCGGAAAAAGTGATACACATGGGCACCGATGCTTAAGGGGCGGGGGAGGAGACTTGGCGGCTTTATGGGGGGGGGGGGCTTTTAGAAGG